CTACCTCTTCTGGAATCTGTACTAGCCAAAATTGGCCACACACGTGTCTTTACCACTCTTGATATCACTGCAGCTTTTAACAAACTCAGGATATATGAGCCCGACGCCATCAAAACTTCTTTTACTGCTCCCAATGGCAAGGCCTACATGTATATCAGAAGTCTGTTCGGAATTAAGACGCTCAGCCAGAAATATTCTAGAGTCATGGCAAAATTGATGGATCAGATTGAAGGCAATTTTACCACTTTTTTCATTGATGATGTCATTATTTACTCAAATAATCTTGCTGAGCATGTCCAGTATGCCCAAGAAGTCATCCACCGGCTTACTCAGGCTAATCTCGAGCTCAACAGCTGCAAATGCGCCTTTGGCATGAAATCTGTATATTTGCTAGGCCATCGAGTAGCTGAAGGTTGTATTACACCTGATGACCGTAAACTTGCCAACATAGAGCAATGGCCCCAATTACGCACTAGCAAAGATATTGAAAGATTTGCTGGTATCCTAAATTTCTTCCGCACATATATTCCCAATCTATCCCGATTGATGGCTCCATTAAACGCCTTACGGAAATATGATGACTTAACCCCAGTATGGTCAAAACACCATCAGGAACTCTTCGACATATTAAAAACCATCTTATGGAAATCTCCTGTCCTGCATCAGCCCGATTTCCATAAACCCTTCTTTGTGGCTACAGACGCCTCCAATCAAGGCCTCGGCGCTGTTTTATGGCAGGAACAAGATAGCAAGAAGAAGTATATTTCCTTTATGGCTCGTTCTTTAACAAAAGCCGAATATAACTATCATATCACCAAACGTGAATTGGTTGGAATTATATTTGCCTTAAACAAATTCCATACTTATTTATGGGGCAACCATTTCAAGCTTTATACTGACCACAAAGCTTTGGTGTATCTGCATTCGCAAAAGGAGCTCAATCCTATGCTCACCAAATGGCTTGATCGCATCTTATCTTACAGCTTTGAAGTAATATATCTTCCTGGTATACATAATGTCCTCCCTGATCGTCTTTCACGCTTATTTCCTCCAACGAAACAAACGCTGGCGAGGGGTGATGGACAGGCTTTGCTGACTCCCAAGTCGCACATTAGCCGCTTTGCCAGAACACCCGATGATGAGATGGTTACACCACCAGAAGAGGAAAGGAAACAATTGCTAGAATCTTCCCACCTCCTGGGACATTTTGGTGCCACCGCCATTATCAAAGATCTTCATTCACAAGGACTACGCTGGTCTGCCATGAAAGAAGAAGCTGTAGCACTTGTCAAATCATGCTCAGAATGTCAAAAGTTTAACATAGCCATCAAAGGCTACCATCCATTACGATCTATCATGGCAGAGTTTCCTGGAGATCATTAGGCATTAGACTTAGCTGGTGAATTTACCACCTCTCTGTAAGACAATCGGTACCTCCTAGTTCTTGTTGACATCTGCACACGTTTTTGTTTACTCCATCCTATTCCAGACAAGAAAGGAGAGACAATAACAAAGGTCTTGATTGATGTATTTAGTACGTTTGGAATACCTCGTAAACTCCAATCCGACAATGGTACAGAGAACATCAATCTGCCTATGCAAGAACTGGCATTGAGCGCCCACTTTAATCATCAATTCAGCACACAATACCACCCTCGAGGCAATGGAACTGCTGAAGCATGGGTCAAAAAGTCCATCATAGGCATAAAGAAGTCTATTAAAGGTGTGACAAAAGACTGGGATCGTGCAGTACTAGGTGTACAACTGTCCTTGAACAACAAAGCTCTGGAGAGACATGAATCCCGACCATTTGCATTGATGTTTGGACGTCAACTGAATGATTTTAAATATTATACAAAAGATAAGCCAAAGCAGCGCCTCACTCCAAAAGAAATTGAGGAACACTTCAAAAAGATCAACGATATAGTATATCCAGCGATTGCAGAACACACAATCAAAACAAACGCTAAGCGCAAAGAAAAATTCGATGCTAAACACCGCTTGATTGATTTCCCACTAAAAAGTTATGTGATGGCAATCAACAAGGAAAAGAAAAACAAACTCGACCCCGATTATGTGGGACCATATGAAGTCGTGCGACAAACACGCGGAGGCTCATATATGGTACGAGCACTTGATGGAGATCTTGAAGAAAAGAATTATGCACCATCTCAATTAAAAGCCGCCATTCTTAATAGCGATGAAAAGGCATCGAAAAAAGAATGCCGCTATCACATTTATTCGATTCTCCAACACAGGAAGAACAAAGGCCAGTACGAATACAAAGTACGCTGGAAAGGCTTTACCAGAGATCATGATTCTTGGGAACCATCACAAAAATTCGATGACCCTCAAACCATCAGTGATTATTGGAATCGCTTAGGCCAAGCACCGCCCTCTGTCCATAAACAGAAACGGACAAGAAACAGTCAGCAGGTAGCATCACAGAACAAGAAACAACGTAGATGATCGGTCCAGTTATAACATCATGCCCTCAAAATCCTCTGAATCCTTTACCAACGGCATACAGCCTGGCGGGGGGTGATGTTGTATCCAGAGGATCGGGACATTAAATAAGTTCCACAAAGACAATTTCTTTATATGAATAACTAGTAATAAGAATATTTGGAACTCTCTTTTTCTCTCATAATAAAAACTTGACCGTTAAGAGTCTCACGAATTATCTCGTCCCATTTTCCGATCCTTGACAAAACAGTAGAGGTGATTGCTGACCTGATTACCACTAGTGCTGGCAAGTGACACAAAATTTATGTCTGGAAACATCGATTGGTAATACTTAACAAGACAGTGGTAGTGGCGCGTATCCATGTACACCTTTTTGCCCGTCTTGAGGGGAAGACATGATGGTGGCAGCGGCTCCTAACCAACTACGCCTACTCCCGCGGCATAGTCGAAATCCGATTGATCCAAGAACGGCTGACAATCGTAATGCTCTTGCATGGCTTCTGATTGTGGCAGCAACAGCTCAGCAATCTATCTGGCAATCGTGCTGTTGCCGCACCACTCAACCACAACTCGTCGGACCATATCATCAGCAAACACGACACTTAAGAACTTTTTCATGTACATAAGCTCGAAACGGTCTATTTAGTTGGTGTACTGGTTCTTGATGATCTTGTTCAACCACTCAAAGCTGAATACCTACATTCTTTTAGTTAAAATAAAGCCGACATATACAAAATAATAATAGTAAAAGTAATAAAAGTAAACAGAATGTGATTGAGATATACTGTATCTAGTAATATATGTATGTATATATATGCGAGCTTTATGAATGTCAGATCTATTATATGTTCTTCACAATATTTGAAAGTCGCTGTGCCTACAAGCTATTATTTTACACCGGACCAGGTTTCTTCAGTAGACACTGAAAATATATAGGGAGATATAACAGAAAAGATGGGAATAGAGAGAGAAAGATAAATAGGCTTAGAGGTAAGTGTATATAATAGAAAGGTTCCATATTCAATTGTTCTTTATTTCAGGTCATCAATTGATGCTTTTTATATCTAAAAAACATTGATAATAAAATACTACTAAATATGATCAAGACAAAATCAGTGATAATGTATATGTGGAGAGACAACGAAATAAAGCTAAATAAAGATAAATATGAACAAGAAAAGAAGTGTTAAGCAAACCATTACTGGTAAAGGAAATATTGAAGGGTGATATATTTAAATTTATAGGAACAATAGCAGCAGGGATATATGCATAGGGAGTTGATGGGATCATTTATTAAACAAGGGATGATCATTGAACCCATCCATCCTCAGCAAAGCCAACGGGCTGAACTATTTTATCAGTCGACCTAGATTCCTGGGGCAGAATTTCCTTCTTTTTGACGCGACGTCCCTTTTTGCGTCGACTTACTTTTTTTTGTTGGCACGGAATAAACAAGAAGGGGATGTAGCTCAAATGGTAGAGCGCTCGCTTAGCATGCGAGAGGTACTGAGATCGATGCTCAGCTTCTCCAATCTACTCTAACAAATAGTTAGGATTCTTGATTTTTGCTCTTAATGTGTATTTTGCAGCATGTTTCTCGACCCGAAGCATGAACCAATGAGATTCACGGACCAATAGCGTGCATTGTCCGTGTACCTTTTTTATCCTTTGCGCTTGCAAGAAGTTACCACACCAATTATAATAACACTTCTTCAGAAACCTTGCAGCACCCATCCCTTCAACTCCTCCTATGATTATTCATCGACCTTCATCAGATTTGTAATCATATCAGTAATATCGTTATTGTATATTTTATTGGTTCTTCTAAGTTGTTCAAAAGGTATAAATACCTTGGATCAACAATCGTAAATAAAGATATCAATCAATTATCTACATACTCTTTTCTATCCCTTTTCTCTTATCCCCTGGCTATAGTATCTCCGCCAAAAGGATTCGACAATTGGTAGCAGAAGCTTATGCCCGATTCACTGAATCCATTCAAGAAGACCAGTTTTCAAAACTACCGGAATACACAAGATCCACTCTTAGAAGAAGAAAGTACACTTACTTTAAAACCACAACCTGTACAAGGACATACACAAGATATGCAACAAGACCCAACACAGCTGATGTTAGAAGCCCTAACAAAGCTCCTTAAGAAATAAGAACCGGTACCAGCTTTCTGCCTACATATACGTGAACCTGACACGTATGGTGGCGACCGCAACCTGGATGCAGTACAAGGATGGGTACGTTCAGTCGAACGGTACCTCGAAATGGCAGATTTGGCCGAACACCGTTGGGTTGATTATGCAGCCACACTATTACATGGTGAAGCCGAACTTTGGTGGTGACAGCAAGAACGTCGTGGCGATGTCGACACCTAGAAGGATTTTAAGAAGCGCATTATTGATGCGTACAGCCCACCCAATGCTCCCTAACTGGCTCGCGATCGCTTGGCAATACTGATATAAACGAGCTCGGTATCGACATATGTTGCCCAGTTCCAAGCAGCATGGGTTTCATTGCCAACTATGACTGAAGAAGAAGCCCTAGACTGCCTCCAACGTGGCCTACACCCGACTGTCCATGTCTATGTTATAACCTATTTTCCTACAACAGCTGATGAAGCAATGCGACTAGCATTGGCATACGAGAGCTCGAGTAACCAGGTACAGCAAGTGATTCATGGTACCCACGACTTCGCAGTGACATATGCCGCACAATAACAAGAACTACTTGTACCAGAATACCTTCGCTCCTCTGGTGTCGCTCCCATGGACTTGGATGCAATGCATACAAGAAGAAAAGGACAATGGCGTTCATCTGGTTGCAGCGGTTCCAACTGGTGACAACAAAATGGTCGTGACCTGGATAATGACAAGGAATGCTACAATTGTGGCAGCTTAGGCCACATTGCACGCAACTGCTCTTCGGGGATTAAACCTTAACTGTTGTTTAAGAAAGGTTTTATTAATTAAACGTATATTATTGTTTAAATGTATAGGAAAAAATAAAAAATTAGATTATAATTTTTTTTATTTTTGAAATGTTTAAGATATTTCTTTTTTATTTTTTTTTAATTCCTTAAAAGGTTTAGGTTTTGTATAGACCTTTTTAAAACGTTTAAACTGTAATATCCCTCAATGTTTAATTCAATCTTATAGTGGTAGAATAGTAATGAGGATTCCCTCCTCTAGCCAAGGAATACTTGGATGCAGGCTAGCTTGACAGTGAAAGGAATAACTAAAATTAATTAGCAATTTATTGCTAAATTAATTGTTATGGATTGAAACTCTTCGCGTCATCGCATGCCTCAAGGGCAATCGGGTCGTCAAGGCCCTTCCAACCAGGGAAACAGTGAAGCATGTCGGGATGGGAGTCCCTTTGCGCCATTAATTAATATCAACAAGTTTTTTCTTTCCTTTTCCTTTACATCTTCTTTTCTTTTCATTGAATTTAGGAATATCATCTTCACTACTATTATCATCTTCATTATTATTTTCACTGACTTCATCATCAATATTCATATTATCATCTATATCAAAATTCAAAAATTATTCTTGTAATTTAATTATTTCATCTTTTTTAATGCAGCTTCACTTGAATTACTGATAACGATATCAACTAATTTAGCTTCAAATGGAAATTCAAAATCATCTGATTCCCATAGCTTATGATGTACTTGGAGGGTAACCCCTAGTGTTATGCATCTAGTGAAATTATAAATATGTAAAAAACTATAAGTAATATAATTTTAAAGTGTTTACAATAAGTGCTGAAATTAATTTTTTTAATTAAAAAAAATAATTTCTCAAACACTATAAGATTCTTAACCAATAGGGTTAATCTCAACCCTTAGGTTTGAAAAAAAACAGGCTAGGAGGTATGACGACGCCCAGTTCATTTAAAAATCAACGAAGTTAGATTTTTATTTGAACGCTTGACAGTATAATAAAATATCATAATATTGTTATTTATAACAATATTATAGATATTGTTTATACTTCCTTACGTATTTATATTAAACTTATCACAAAACTTCTTTATATTTTTTAATAAACAAGCAATACGAAACTGAAGACTATAAAATTTTATATTATTCATTTTTACTATAGATTTATTATTATTAAATCTGATATATTTATTACGAATTTCTGAGAACTGGTTCTCAATTTTTGATCTAAAACTACCGAATACATCTTTATAATATCTTTTATCTGCTGTTAAATTTACATTAATCTCTTGACGGATTGGATATACAAAGTTATCTCTAGAAAAATTATATCCTTTTTCACTTGAAAGTTCTATTAACTGATTTATAAATAGCATATATCCACCATCTGTTGCTTATACATATTGTTTACTTAATTTATTATAAAGTTTCATATTAAGAACCATTGATCCCATCTGAACTATTAGAGCAATAATCACTTTTAGAAGTATAAATTATCATGTCATTCACATCAGATATAATCTGTGTTCGTATACCATTTTTTGTAAATGTATAATCGAATAATCTTTCATATTTTATATCAGTGTCTACATAATTAATGCGTGAATCATGTCCATCAATAATAAGTGTAATATATTTAAATAATAGTGGATTATATTTATATGATGATAAAATGTGTAATCTTATTGTTGAGAACATATTTTCTAAAGAGTTATTTACTATTTTATTTATTCTTTTAGAATTATCTTCATCTATCCAAAAGTTCTTATAATATTGATGATATGTTGCCTGAGGTAAATATTTATTAATTTCTATACCTGATATACCTGATACTAGTTTATATAAAAGAAATAATCCTTTTAATATTTCGAAATAAGGTCCAGGATATTCAAAATTAGTATATAATATTATTAGAAAAAAGAAAACTGATATATATCCAAGTTTATCAACTAAAATTTTTTTAACTTCTTTAATTTTTTTAATATATTTTATTTCTGTACGATGTTTATAATTATTATTTATAATAAACTGGTCCCTCCGCTTCGCTTCCGGATGATGTGAGCCCCTCCGCTTCGCTGCGTGTCAGCATCTGTCCTCCAGGGACCAGTTTACTGGGGCTCTGCCCCAGACCCCGGGTGGGGGGCAATGCCCCCCTACCGCCCCCCAAGTGTTCTTCAAACAATGCTGAAAATATGTTCTCAAAGTATTCTGCTTAAAAGTGATGTCGAAAACAGTTGTGGAAATTTTATTGTTTGGTTAAAAAAAGGATGCCGTCACTGCTTTTAAAAATGCCCAAAGTTAATCTTCATACACAGTAAGAATATTTGTATCATTTTACCGTGTCAACGCTAATCACCCGAGTTGATGCATTCCGTACTCTCTGATGATTCATGCCCAACACATCGGCAATCCTCGCAAATATTGAGGTGGTCGTGCAATTCGATGTACACCTCGCAACTGAACAGATCGTGTTCAGTTTCTTCGCAAAATTTACAGGTTAGAATTTTCAAGGTGGAATTCTCTTGCTCTTGAAATGGGTCTTGGACATTTTGTTGAGATAGAAAACTTTGGACTTCATGAAAGATGCGATGGTTACACGTTCAACCAAGCTCGCTCTACTTACTTCAGCAAAGACCGAAACCCTATTTTTTGTTACGGTCTGGAGATGCTTTTGCTAATATGACATTGATGATCATATTTGCGTCCCCCAACACCCCCTCTAAACCCGAACCCCTACATAGTTATATTGTATTTTAGAATCAAAAAACAGGGCGACAGATGAGGCTTGACAGTGGAATAGAAAGAAATAGATGGATAATAATAATAATGGAAATGACAGAAGAAAAAAGAAAGCTATATTGTGATGATGGTGGTATGATAGTAGTGAGGATCGGTAGAGCAGCGTAAAGATTTACTCGTCGGCAACAGTTGGTTGTGTGTGTGTGGGTGTTTGTGATTGCGGTTCGGTTGTGGCGGTGTAGGAGGGTTTAAAAGCACCTCACGGTAGACGATGTTGGTGGTGGAAGCTGTGGCGGGGTTGGTGACACGCTCAAGGTCGATGGCAACACGGATATTGTTAGGGTTGGTAGCGCGGGAGAGTGCAACATACAATTGACCGTGGGCAAAGACAGGCTCGCAAAGACGGATGCCGACATGCTCGAGGGTTTGACCTTGTGCTTTGTGGATGGTCATGGCAAATGCCAGGCGGACAGGGAATTGGCGGCGAGAAAGGATGAAAGGATAGTCACCTTCTGTCGTGCACATGTGGATGCGAGGAAGATAGTGAACTCGACCTGCATGCCCTTGGTCAATTCGCTTAACAGCAATGGAGTGGTCGAGAAGGCGGGTGACAAAAAGCTTTGTGCCATTGCACAGACCTGCATCCGGATTGATGTTGCGCAAGAGCACCAATGGCATACCGACCTTGAGCTGCAAAGAATGCGAGGGAATTCCACTGGCAGTCAAGCTGTTGAGAAATTCAACAGGATAGTTGGCTTGGCGTAGTCAGGATCATCGGCGTCGACAATACGATCCGAAGACCTGTACTCACGTCCGTCACCAGGGAAAAGGTTGTACGCTGTTTCGTTGATCTCGTCAACGTCGACATTTTTCGCCGCTAAAATAGCCCGCCCATGATAGTGCTCGGGAAGAGGGTCAAAGGATCGAATGGATGGGTAGATGAAATCAATGAGTGCAGTAACGTCATTTGCATCCATGCGCCATTCTTCAGGAATTTGAACAGCATCAGTGTAAGGTGCTTGCCCATCACCTATTGCAAGAAGTGTATCAGCAAATACAGCGGCATCAGGGCCAGCCTGACGCACGCGCATATTGGTGGTGAGGTGCAAGACTTGAACATGCTGCTGCAACCAATAATTAGTTGCACGGATAGTTTGTTGTACTATCTCGGACCGTGTACCCTGCTTCACAACAGGAAGCACTTGACGAAAGTCGCCACCGAACACCATAACCTTGCCACCAAAAGGGATTCTTGCATATGCTGGATCAATGGCACCCATTATGTCACGGAGTGACCTGTCGACAGCCTCAAAGTTATGTTTGCTGCACATAACAGCCTCATCCCAAATGATGAGGGAGGCTTGCTGTATAAGATGTGCATGCGGTCCACCAAGACGAAGATTGCATGTAGTATCAGCGTCAGCGTTCAAAGGAATTTTGAAACGACTGTGCGCAGTACGGCCACCCGGAAGGAGGATTGCAGCAATGCCAGACGTAGCAACAGGTAGTGCAATCTCTCCACGCGAACGAACACGGCTTAACAGCGTCTTGAACAGCTGCGACTTGCCAGTGCCTCCAGCACCATTGACGAAAAAGATGCGGGAGTAGTAGTGGGGGGCAAAGACATCCATTGAATTGATGATGTCATCGTATGCAGCTCGCTGTTCTTCGTTGAGGGTTGGCAGTAACTCCTCAAGGGCACGAGTCTGTTCATTGACATCATATTCACGGCGCTCAAGGATTGCCAGCCCTCAAGCCGTGGAAGGAGATCCAGTTCGGTCACAAAGGTTTGCGGCAATGACGGAAACTCGTAAAGGTGGTGCCCTGTAACCTGCAGGCGGGTTTCAATATCACCGAGTGTACGCTGGAAGATTCGATCGCGCTGTTGGTCAGACAACTCGGCTTCATTTGGAAGAGAGAGCGTCCGCGCGTCTCAAAGAAATAGTCGTCTGCCATACGCTCGCGATAATCGTTCCACAGTGATGCCGGATCAGCGGGAGAGCAATTCGTCAAAATATAGACAAATAGCTGTCTAATTGCTGCAGCAGAAGGGGCAACCTGACAAACCTCAGCCAAACAGCGATCCCATTCATGATCAGACTCCAAAAGACCACGTGCAACAGCCGCTTCTTGGAACGTCGCATATGTCGTGCCATCATATTGACGCAGGGAAAGAAAGCCAGTAGGGCCGCGAACAAACAGCAAAAGCAGACGAAGGCAATATTGTTCCATGTTGGAAAGCGGAGCATGGTAAATACGAGTGACGACAGGTTTAAAAGGAGGGTTGGTGCGAGGGGTCCAGCGGCGATTTCTATCGTTCCAGGTGTAGTGGCACGGAATTTCAGAGTAAAGGTACTGTTCTGTTTCACGATTTTCGCTGTAAAGGCGGAAAAAGGCAAGAAGCTTGGTACCGGATTCTGCCGCGTCACGCGCTGCTCGAACTTCTTGTGGTGTCATATCGTCACGTAGATTGACAATCTGTTCGCCAGGTAAGTGAAGGTCCAAACGTACGACTGTCGGATAGTGCATATGCACATCAAACTCGAACGTACGATGAATAGCTTCGCACGGACCAATGTATCGAGCGTTTTGAAACTGCTCTACTTCATTGACCGGCTCAGCAGCGGGATTATCGGTGGTGGTAGTGATAGCGGTGGTTTCGATCTGTGCTCTGTCCGTACCCTTCGTGATGTATTTACACAGATATTTGATTGCACGGGCAGAGGTGCAAATCTCAACGTTAATATGTGCATCGTACTTGTGGCTAAGATAGGGGTTGTACGGCACAACATGTCGGTTGTCGGCGAGGAATTGAGAGGCGGTGAAGATGTGGCGATGATTATTGCGGTCGTCGGGAAATTCGCGCCGTCGATACTGTGGGTATCCGTCTCGAGTGACACGGGTCTCGTTATTGAAAGGTTTTGGATAACCTTGTGAGCAACGATTATCCTTCATACATACAGCGGTTGTGCCTGGACCACATGGGCCGTGTATCATGCACGATGTCACTGTGTGATACAACTGTGGTTGGGTGACTGAGTTGGGCAACTCAGCAGACACAAACTGGTCGTAGTCGGTGGGATTGCGGGGGCGGTCTCCTTGTTCCAAAATGACCAAAATATGTACATGAGGCAATCCACGCTTCTGGAACTCAACGGTTGCCAAGTAGCCCGCGACTTGACCAAAGCATTTCGTTTCCTTGATATCATTGAGCAACTGTTTGAGCTTGAGATGAAACACCCGAGTTGCGATATCAGGACGATCGTATGCTTGCTGACCTGGAAGAAGCTCCGCAACGATTTCAGGCCACCTTGGGTTGCAAGTAAAGGTAATGAAAAGCGTTGGGTTTCCTCGCTGGCGAACAATTGCTAACCCATCCTGAAGCATCTGCTTCATGTAGCGCGGACCACCTGTAAAAGATGACGGCAAAATGACAGCACGACCAATTTGCCTGGGATCAACGTTGTCACCGACGCCACTATACAACTCTGCACGTATCGTTCTTTGGTGGGTAAGGATATAATGTAGGCGAGAGAATTCGATACGGGCATAGTTATCGACGACCATCTGCTGAAAGAGTCGCCCAAAATGGTGTTGAAAAGTCTCGCGGTCGCCATTACGGATCATGAGGTTGAAAGCGCAATGCTCACGCAAG